TTTTGCTGGCCTCAGGACTCTCCCCCACCTCCACTTGCAAGTGAACTGGGGGAGGAAGAGGAATGGGGAACTGACACTTGGAAAGAAGCTAAAATGCAATTGTTACCATTCAAATCAGTATATATATGTATATGGGGGAGGGGCTAATCGTGGTCTATGATTCTGCAGATGCTGGGGGCTTCCTTTATTCTACAATCCAAAAGCAAAAGCGCTTGTACAAGAAAGCCTACGGGTTGTGGAATGTAGACTTGTGGACCCTAAACACAGGCCAGAGCCTGGGATTTAAGAATAACCTTGTAAATCTTAGTCAACTGATTTTGCAGATTGGGAAACTGAGACTCAGTCTCCAAGTGAGACCTTCATAGGCTCTGCTTGTACTGAGCAAGGAAACCCATGGAAAGACAGAGGGAGAGAGGGAAAGAGGGAGGGGGAGGGAGGGAGGGAGGAAAGGAGGAGGAGAAAGCAGGGTTTCCTAGAGGGTGGTCTGAGAGCTCTCCTAACTGCTTATTGGAGGGTGGGCAGAATCCCCAGGACCACCCCAACACTCCAGACAAGAGGATGGTGAGTCCAAGGCTAGCATGAGCTGCCTAAGGGAGACCCTTATTCCAAAAATAAAGTATAAAATAAGGTGACTAAAACAAGACCAGAGGGGGAGGAGGAGGGGACGACACGATGTAAGCAAAATCATCGGGGTCAGAGGATGGAAGTGCCCCTCCCCCTCGTCCTTACGCCAACCACCTGCCGTCTCCCGGCTGAAGCAGAGGAGCGTGACAGGGAGGGGCCAGAGCAAATCTGGTCTCTCCTTCCTTCTCCTACCTCAGCACCGGATGCAAGGATACAATTTAGTCCCCGCTAGGGTCAGGGGCCAGGAACAAATGCTGTCAGGCCAGCTGGCCAGACAGTTCCCAATTAGACTTTGTTTCTCATCCTTAAGGCCTTGAGCCCCCAACCCCTACACCCCTGCCCAATTACTGCCCAGCAGCATTAACCCCTTGGTGCCCCGGGCCGTTAATGGAATGTTAATTGGTCTAATGGGTTTCATGTCAACAAGTCCTAATGAGCTCCTTCTAACGAGCTTGGCAATTTTTTTTTTCACAGCCTGTGTTTGTCAACACTCTGGAGTTTGGGCTCCAGTCTGAGGGCATCGTGGCGCTGACTCTGGGGTGCTAGAGCTGTGAAAGCAGGGAGAGGGACATCCCTAAGCTGCACATTCCCGTGTCCCAAACTGGAGAATCATCTGTACCTGCCTTTGTGGCCCTGCTTCCCCACTACCTCACTTGACTCCTGGGCCTGCAAAAATGGCACTTTGGGCTCCTTTTGGTGACAGTATCAGCGACACAAATCGCCTCCTGCTGAATACCTTGTGAAGTTGAATGCTGCGTGGGATTCCCCCACCCTGTAGTTACCGCATAGTACAGGTTTCGGCATCAAAGAGAAAATTCTCAAGCAGAGCCTACAGACCAAGGAATTCTCCGCGGTAACTGTTCCTCAGAGCCCTCCAATTACCGCCTTGGCTGTAGTTCCTTGAATGCCCTGGTGTGGTGTCTAGTGACAGAAACGAGAGGGCCTCTGGACAGGGCCAGCAACCCCACAGAACCGCTGAATAAAACCGTGGAGCCCTGGAGCCCTGAGCCGTGAACTGGGTTCTCTTTCTGCTGCCAAAGAAACTGCATAGGGCAGGTTTCCCCAAAGGTCCAAGACCTCAGCTACTGCTGAAGAACACCCCCCCACACACACACCTCCAGACCCTGACGGGATGAGTTATTGGATCCCCACATTCCTCTCCAGGATGGGGCATATGCCCTTTCAAGGAGGATCAAGCCGGATAGGGGTGCGTGTGTGGGTGGAGGGATTAAGGGTACAGCAAGTCTCCTGGATAAGCATGGGGGCGGAGGTCTCAAGACAGCTGAGCTCTGGAGGGTCAAGTTTCCAGAAGCTTCTGTGCTTGTTCGAGCTGAGAGTAACTTAAGCCTCTTTTGAAAAGGCCTCCAGTTCTCTCGCGGGAGAAATCCTTAGAGGGCAGTGGGCAGTGGCTTAGGGGCTTATGGTGACTCCAGAGAAGGGGAGGAGCCAGAGCCATCAAGACTCCCTGCTGCCCAGCTTGGCTCAAGTTGAGAACTAAAAAAAAATTTCTCCGCCTTGTGGATGGTTGATTCTAGAAGCAGAGCACTCGGAGCTATCCTTCCCCGCCCTGCAGCAGACATTATCGAGGATATTTCTCTTAACTGACCCTGCTTCCACTATGGGATCGGGAACAAAAGGATAGGGATTTGTGACTTTTCTGTTTTACCAACATTCTCCTGTTTGAGTTTTTGATTTTTTTTTTTTTTTTTTTTTAGTTCTGGGGAGTTTTTTTTTGCCTTGACTTCACTATGAGTTTCTTACTTACGGAATGAAGTTACCAACAGACTCAAACCCAATGTTAAAAGAAATAGTTGCCCCGACAGGCTGAGAAAAACCTTCCTAGATTTTGCTCCGGGAGTGTCTCTGCCCTGTGCGCCCTCTTCCGGAGACTTCTGATATTGCAACCCTGGCACCTCCCCCCCCTTTTTTTTTTCCCTCGGTAACTGAACATCTAAGATTGGTGCTTTGTGTGTGTGTTGGGGGTGGGTGTCCTGGCTCATTCCTATCCCGTACAACGTCCCAAACTCTAGACCCATCAAAGTGGTTTTATCTAACAGAGTTCTTATCATCTCCCAAGATCTCTATGTCCTTATTCTCCCAGGTTTCAAAAGAGGGCTTGTTTTATTATCAAGTCTTTTGGGGGAGATGGAAGGGTAAAGGGTAAGGAAACAGGATCTCACTATGTAGCCCCAGGGGCTTGGAAACTCATTATATAGACAAGGCTGCCCTCAAATCTTGCTGTGACTTCCTGCCTTGCTTCCCAAGTGCTAGGTTTACTGATGTGTGCCACCACACCCGGCTCGCATCAAGGGTCTTCATTCGGAAGGTCTTTCTAATGTCTCAGGACATTTGCCTCTGGCCCAGGGATGTAGGTCATTGGTGGAGTACAGACATAGAACAACATAGCATCCTGGGATCCCTCTCACACACTGCAAAGGGGGAGGCGGAGGAGGAAATAATTTGCCTCCTCCTTTTCCTTCTGTAATTCTCTCCAGTCTGCCCTTGCTCCCTGAAGCTGACAACAACCCAAAAGCCTGGCCATGAAGACAAACATGGATATTGTCCTGGCAGAGGAACCAGGCTCTCCCCCTCGCTCTCTCTTGGGCATCTGTGCAAAGGCTAGACCATCTTGTAGAGACGGATGCAAGGCAAGCTCAGTGGCCTGTCTTCTGAGGCTGAGGAGTGTGCATAGGCCTCCGAAGCCAAGATGCTCACTCGGCCTAGGAGAAGCTGTTGCTCCCTGCCCTGCCAGCCCCACCCCCACTTTACTTTCTTCTTTCCTGCCAAATTATCACCTCCCTCCACCAACCGTACCCCCTGGAGAGAAGATCTGGCCGCGTTCATCCATCCTGCCCACTCCTGAGCACAGTTCCCTGCACAGAGTCGATATGTGATAAGCATCTGTTGAATGAAACATGAATCCCCACTGCTTTTGCGTGTGCTTCTTGAGGTCAAGGCATGCCTGGTACTTTGGAGAATCGGCTCAGGCCAGGGAAGTTCTTTCCTTCCCTTCATGAAAAGAGCGGTAATAGCAACAACCACGTGCACACGTGTGTGCACACACACACACTCATATACACACACACAGAGAGATACACATGCGCTCTCTCTCTCTCTCTCTCTCTCTCTCTCTCTCTCTCTCTCTCTCTCTCTCCAGAGACCCACATCTTTTTTTAATGGCACCTCTAAGATGCCTTTAGGTTGCTACAGACTTTAGGTATGTGGACATTTTGGAAGGTTCTGGGAAGGGGTAGATGGATGGACCCACACACCCCCTCCCAATGCCCTCAGGGAGAGACAGGGAAGTCTGAACACTGGCTCACAAAGACTTCTAACTAACCAGCCCAGGAGACAATTTCTCCCGCCCCATGTTCCTAGGCTTTCCTGCCCCATGCTGGACAGAGCTCTATCAGCAGCTACAGTGTGAGTGTTTGTCTCTAAATATTTCAGGGCATCCATTGCAGCTCAGCATCTCTCTGGGCATTCTGTTTCCTGGGGTGGCACTGCCAGACTGGCTCGGCTTACAAACCATGGTCTAGCTCAAGGAGAAACTTTGAAGCCCTCAGGGGGCAGTTTGTGCACTGGTGAGGGGGTGGTGTGGGGTGCAGTGGAATAGACATACACACAGAGACACACACAGACACATAGACACACACACACACACCCCTCATGATCTGCCCCCGCCTATGTAAGAGGCATTATGGCTCTACATACTGGTAACTATATTGAACCAAAACTGAAGAAAGTCCTGGTCACAGTATGAATCTAAGAAAACCAGGAAGTGATTAATGCTTTCCCGTTCTTTCCACCCGCCCCCAAAACCTCCTGGCACATCCCCTCTGGACTGGTCTTCAAGAGGGCAGATGGCCCATGCCCCTTGCTACCACTAGGGGTATGATGAGCACACATGGGAGGGCAAGCCTGGGGCTTGGAGACCCCGAGTGTGGAAGCAGGAGGCCTAGGGGAATGCTGATAGAAGGCTCTCCAGAATACCTGGGAAGGGTTGAGCAAGGGGCGCCCTCATCAAAGGGGGGGGGAGGGACGGGTAGCCCTGCCACCAGCCAAGCTACCCATTGCATCCCCTTTGCCAAACAGGCCTGAGCTGATGCTGAGCAAAGCATCACTGCGGGGTACCGATTGTTTTACATATCGTTTGAATATTACTTCTTTTGAGTCAAAATAGCACAGCAAACCCCTCTCTACCTAGCCCCCTCCCACCGTTCTGATTCGTTCCTCTGAAGAACCTCCAATCCCTGCATAGCCCATCAAATCCAGGTGTTCCAGGTGAAAGAGAAAAAAAAACCGTGGAGATCGTTAGTTCCCTGGGTTGCCTGTACCCTGTACTAATGGTGCGGCCCCTTTTCTTCTGCCCGCAGATCCTCCATGTGAATTAATCCCATGATGCAACATGCCTCCCCAGCCCCAGCTCTGACAATGATGGCCACGCAGAATGTCCCTCCCCCACCCTACCAGGACAGCCCCCAGGTGAGTGTGCCAGGGAAGAATGGGGAAGTACCTTAGTCTTGGAAATCCCACGCGAGGGTGGAACTGGGCTATTCCTACCTCAGCTTTAGCCTGTCAGCCCTGGGGAGGCTTCTCTGGAGAGTCTGGTCTGGAGAATACAGATCCTTGAAGAGTCATCAGACTTGACAAAACACCAGGCTCCGACACTGCCTAGGTTAATTTTGTCACCCGGACCATAGCCTGGAGTCTGTCTGCCATTCTCTCCCTGCGGACATTGAAAAGAACAACGAAAGCCCTTAGTTCTGCTTAGGGCAAAATTCACACTGGAGATCTCGGTATGTGATGAGCTTGTGTTTAGGAGACTTCCCATTTATCCCAGGACCAGACCTCCCTTCCCCTGGTCTCTTGAGTCCTTCAGAGCAGTGCCTGGCTACCTGCCTGTTAGAAGAATCTCTTGGGGGCTCTGCTGGACTTCTGCCTAGAAAAAGCAGGAATCTTGGTCCGTGACTTCAACTCCCCTTCCCCAGCCCTTGTCTTCCATCATTAGTTCAGCTCCCTGTTCTTCTGAAACTCCCTCTCTGGCTGCAAAACCTGTGATCTTCAACAGCAGTGTCTTCCCACCACTTTGGTCCCTCTGGGGTTTTTGTTTTGTTTTGTTTTTCCCCGGGAAGCTGCCAGCTTGAGTGGACTGGGCTATTGCGGTCCCTGAGATCCATCCCGTCTTGTCTCTGGACTTTAGGTGTCTCCCACCGGCCCCTGAGTCTCCAAAAGCCTGAGTTCAGGGGTTATGCTTTCACAGGAGAGTACCCTTTGGGGGCCTTTACCTGGTGTTCTCATCCTTTCTCTAAGAGCAAGTCTGGTCAGTTCATATCAGCTCAATAATTACCTACTGGGTGAGTGGCATGTGAACTGTGCCCACTAGAAGGTCCCCTTGGCCTTTAAACAAAGGGAGGCCCTCCTGCGCCTTCTCTGCAGCCCCCCCCCCCTCCTTCTCCATCCCTTATACACCAGCCAGCATTTCAAACACGACCATCCTCACAGACCACGTGAAAATGAGTACTCAGGTGTGGAGACAGGGCAGAGGGCTTTGTTCCCACCAGGACCTATGGCTTCCTGATGCCCCATCTTTCGTGTAAGCCCAGTGCAGCTGTCCTGCACACAATGTCACTCCCAACTTCAGGGAAGTTGCCAGATGGTGTGAGACCTCTTTGCTGACCATTTCTGACTCCTCCCTCCGAAAGTACAGAAACCCTCATCACTCAGTGACCTCCCGGCACCGTTCTTTAGTCTCCAGGCTTGTTCTACACCACACCTTCACGTTCTTTCTCCAGAGCTCTTCAACGTTAAGAAATGGGATGAGGATGGAGGCTGTAGAAGAAAGGTGAAGGCGGAGATGGAGTGGGTGGAAGGAAGCAGGGAGTAAGGTTTCCAAACAGAGGCTCTGGCAGCTTCTTGTTTGTGGAAGAAATGCTGCTTTCTCTGGTCCTGCAATACTGGCCTTTGGAGTTCGATGCCCCCAAAGGTCGTTTTCCCTGTTCTTCAGGGCCAGGGTGAGCTTGGCACTAGCATTCCATGCAGCTAGTCCCCCTGCCTTCCTTTCTCTCAGCTTTCAAGAGCTAACCCCAGCTTCTCCGGGGAAAACTCTGCTCTATTTCCCTTGTAATGTCATTATCCTAAAGAACCAGCTGCTCTCTGACACGGTGTCTTCAGGAAAGCCTGGCCTTATAATAGGACCGTGGGTCAGGCACACAGGGGACTCATCTTAAATGGGGGACTCTCAGGAAACTCTTTCATTGCCCCTTCAGGTCTAATCGGTGACTTCTGTTCCCTATGTGACACGACTCTCTGTCACCTCCCCGGAAAGCCAGTTTCTTTCACAGGCAAGGAATGGACAGTCTCTGATATGGAGTCCCCAAAATGAGAAAGGGAGCGAGAAGCAGGGCCACTCCTCGGAGACCCATGCAATCGTTTTAATAATGTTCCCGTTGTGCTAAGGGCTAGCAATACTGAGCATAATCTATTCAAATGCACAGGAGACTGTCACTTTGGAAAATTAGGAATCTGCATTAAAAAATTCCCAAGCCCCGGACCTTCTTTATAATAAATTAGAATTTTTTTTCTAGGCAAGTTCTTAACTTGGCAATTTTCATCTTGAAGTTTGGGGAATAAAGTTATTAAAAAGGAGGGAGACTTTTTTTTTCCCTTTTCCATTTTAGTAGAGCAGCATTAATGGTTACGGCCCCATGCTATTTGGGCATAAGCCAAAGTGGTATGGTGGCTAAGTGGCTCCCAGCTCTCTGGGCTGTTTGAGTTTGTCCGGGGGAAACTCTGTGACTTCTCATAAGGACATCATCCTGTTTATTATACTCTGAAGACTAACTGTATATTTAGAAACTGCAAAAAACAATAACCCAGTAGAACCCTTCAAGCAGATACTTTCCTTTGCTTGGCTTTCTGTTGAATTCTGTTGAAGCGACAGCGCCCTCTACTGTGTAACTCCAATACCTCATACTCTGGTTTCTCTTTAGATGGCTCTTCAGTATATTTTTGTCTTTAAAAAAAACTGTAACACTTTAATTCCAATATGTTGTGTCTGTGCCCTTGATCCAGACCTTTATTTTATGCACTGAAGAGACACGGGGGGACTGCTCAAACTCAGAGTTCTATAAGGATTGGTTAAAGAAAATGTTGTCTACAGGGAGGTATGAAGTAGGTGCATGGACCCTCAGTTGAATGCATTGTGTTGATTCCTAGATCACTGTTTCTGTTCTTATGCATCTCTGCCACAGTGGGCTTGGCCATCACAGTCACTGAGATGTCTACAACCTCCACTACTATCCAGAATTGCTGCCAACTCTAAATGGAACCCTCAAAGTCATGTCCCTTTATTATATATTTATAAAATACCAGCAAAGGTCACTCTGCTCTCTTTTCTAGGATTCTTGTGGTATCAACCACCCTGTGACTCTTTAGTTCTAGTCGTATATAAGGTGTTCCTATCCTCTCTTTCCACCGCAGAAATACCTGGAAGTCTTTCTGTTTCTTGTCAGGCAGCATATGCCTGTGCAGCATCCTCCACCATGCCAAGTTCTCCCTTCTGCAGCTCCATCGGCAAATCCAGGAAACGGATTTGCTAGTGAGGGCAGCAGCTTCTCCACCCTTACCGAGCTCCAGGAAGCACAAGACAGCAAGCCCCACCCTACCCTTCCTCAAACACAGACACATGCCTACTGTTCCGTAAGTGTTCTTGGTTTACGGGCAAGACACATACTTAAATCATCTGGTCTACTGGTGTTGATATTCAGTGTTTAATATTCTCGGTCTGTGCATCTCCAGCAAACCCTGCTGCATGAGCTTTTGACCAGGAAGCAGAAATCTTAATGGATCCTTTTTCAGCTCTGGTGAATGTGGTACTCAAGGGGTAGGGGAGATTAGGAATAAATGATAGGCAGGTAGCTTGGACTTGACACGGAATGACATAACAAGACTTGCTCTGAGAGGGACTCTGACAGTTTCCTCAGGACCCGCTTCCTCGTTCATCAGAGGGCACAAGACGGCAACTCAGAAGGAAGCCCTTTGATAAAAAACAGAATTCTACTGCTCTGTCCCCCTGCAGCCCTTGGAGTAAAGAGAACTATGTCAGGAACCAAGGAAACTGCACTCATAGATCCAGGCTCAAAATGATGCTTTCCTCCCTTCCTGCAAAGGAAGGTAAGAGGAGCCAGAGGCCAGACTCCACAGAATCCTCTCTTGCCCCACTTCCCCAGCTTCCCCTCTCTCTCTCCTAGCCCTGATGCTCCAAGCAGAACCAGGGGTGCATCAGGCCTGGGGAAGCTGGCTGGGCTTTGATCAGTCATTAGAATCCCCATGCTGGTTTCATTAACAAGGCAGAAGGGGGTGGATGGGGCCCCTGGCTGTGAATGGCCTCCATCCAGGCCGTGCAGCTGTGCCGGGCAAGCAGGTTCAGATGTTGTCACACTCCTTTACATCCCTCTCATCTCTTTAAGGCCAGGAGCCCCCTGCCTTGCAGGGTCCTCTGCTCAGCTGCCTGTGAAACACATTCACTTTGCAGCATCGAGTTAATTCATCTGCTTTGAAAGTTCTCCTAAGCCTTTTCTGTAGCTCTGATTGACAGTTCCCCCTGCCCCCCGGGGCAACACCCGAGGGACCATATGGGAGACCCATCTTCCTTCGATTTGACTCATCAAAACAGATTCTTCTCTCTCTTTTATTTTGTTGTGGGCCTTTCTTCCCTTTATATTCAGTGACCTTTCTCCCTGCCTGCTTGGGCCACCTATATCTTTAGACCTGGATTCTTCATTGCAGAGAAGGCAAAAGCAAACTCCAGGTTCTAGCTGGGCCCTTTCTGCCCCTGCATAGGAGATGATGGATCGGTCCCAGGACTAGAAAGCCCGTTATAAACATGCTCAGAACCTAGTTTAGGTTTTACTGTTGATTAACTTACTACTTCAGTTTCTGCCATCACCAGAAACAGAGATCTTATTGTCTAACTTCCTGTCTCCAAGTAGGACAAGTATCCCAAACAGCTACAAAAATAGTTAGCAGCCCAAGGATGCAAAGCCTAAAATAAGCCAGGGAACAGGTGATTCAAGTCAACAGCAGGACTGAGGAGCACTGTATATGCTGTGTCCTTTCCTATGCCATCTTTGGAGACTCCGTGTCCCTGGGACCTAGCAGGAGGAACTAGGTGAGTAAGACACCAGGATTCCTGTTGCTCTTGGAGTTGGTGGTCTGGAGAGTAGGATGTCCACCACAGCAGGCAGCCAAGCGTCTTGGGACGACCCTCGCCCTGTTTCTGCTATAGTCCACAAACGCAGGCGAGTCATTTCAGTAATGATCGCTTGCATTCACTCATCTTCTTGAACAAACGCTGAGTGCTTCCTGCAGGCCTTGCCAACTGTGTGCTATGTGTTAGAAGTGTAGAATTAAGAGTTCCTGTCCCAGCGGGGCCTTGGTTTTTGCAGGGGTAAAGAGGAACTTCTGCCCTTCTTGCCTTTCAC